ACAACAGCAACAACAAAACCAAATCAAAAGAAAAAAAAAAAAACCACAAAAACAAAACCAGAAGAACTCTCAAAAAAAACCAAATGGTAGTGCAAAGCAAATTCAAATTAAATATGTGCAAATAGGCAAAGACAAGCATGTTTTTACTGATTCTGAAAAATTCAAATGAAATGTTTCCATATCCAAAATCTGTAGGATTCTTTTTTTCTTATCTTTGTGCTTGGCTGTGGAATGTAAATACAAAAAGTGTATAGTAAAATGTGAGCACTCTCAATGTGTCTTTACTACAATACAGTTAATTCTATTTTACGAGTTTGTGGGTTTTCTTCCTCTGTATCACCAAGAAGATATATTATAAATCATTGACAAGGAAGACACTTAAAGCATATGAAATAGTTAAGTAGTTCTATGTTCCTGACTATGTACACCTGAGCACAGGGGAAGAAGCACTTGATTACAAAATGTAAATAGGCAAAATAAATATTTGTTCTCTCTTTCTCACGAAGGACAGTTTCAACAGTTACATTTTGAGGGGCAAGAAATAATGAATTTAAGGGCTGTTAATAAATATGAGTATTGAGGCAAGGAACTGCTTCATAATATTAAAATGGAAAAATTGTAGAGGAGAGGAACTTGAAGCAGTGTAGTAGGAGAGACAAAATGCTGACATTGATTTCAGAGGCTTTAAAACCTATCATGGTAATGAGTAATCGCAGAATATTCAGAGTTGGAAGGGACCCACAAGAATTATCAAGTCCAGCTCTTTACTGAATTAGTCTTGATTAGTATGTGTTGCAAACGACTATCAGCTAATGACTTTTGCTGTACTTTTTCTTTGCATGAATTTGCCCAGATGCCTTTTTTGACCCTGCCAAATTTTTATCATGAAATCTGATGTGACACAAGGTTCCATGTCTTAAGTGAATTGTGTGAGGAAAATGTTCTTTAGCTTGTTTTTAAATCTACAGCTTGTTAATTTTATTTGGAGCATGCTAGTACTTGCTAGAAAACAATAAGAATAGACATCAGATTGTGTAGCACCCCAGTAGTAGAGAATTCACTAATCTAAATAGCTTGGGTAAGCAAATGCTATGCCAATGTCAGTTTTGCTGCTTTTGCAAGAGGTTTTTTTTTTTATATAAACACTATAAAGTTGCTGTTTCATTGGTCTTAATGAAAAATACTTAAAAGAAAAAATGCTGAGAATTGCTTGGAATAACTACCACATATTACGACAATATTTACTTTGCTTAGTCTGAACGCTAGTATGATTCTCAAAACTCCAAATGAGGTTGATTTCATTGTACAAGTTTGGTTTTTTTATGTAGTTATGTCACACATTTTTCCTTTATGATTGCAACAGGTATGTTGCAGTACCGTTCAGTGAACTTACTGATTGCTGCTTCCTCTTACCATTACAGAATTTATCCCCATTATTATATGGCGTTTCGGGCTTATGGTGACTCTGGTACTTTATATGATAACTTATTAGAATAAGAGAATAGTGTTTGTAAAAATTATAGATTAATGTAGACATCTAAGAAAGAGGACTATGATATAAAACATAACTTCTTCTCCAGAGATCCATATTTTTAAATCTTAATTGAGTTATGATAATACTTTTTGACCTCTGAAGACTAGAACCTTCTTAAGTAAACTAAAGGAAAAGATACAGGATTAATAAACCTAAATAGAAAAGAAAGTAAAATAAATACTTGATTCATCTTTTTTAATGATGACCAGTATGGCTGTGGAAAAACTCAGACAACAGTCAGGGATCACATATGAAATTTGTAACCTCTGAAATTGCGGTCTGATGCTCTACCCCTGAAATAACCCTTCTTTGAAGAGTTGATTATTTTGAAAATAAGAACGACAGTCTAATTTTTGAATCGCCTGTGGTAGTGCAGTCTAACTGGTGATTTGAAGGCTGCATTTTTCCCTCGTTACTGATTATGCTAGAAAGAAAGAGATCATAACGTCAGAAGTATTTTACAGGCTATATTCATTAATTCATTAAATGTCAGAAGCTAAGGGAACATTTATAACTGAGTACTTCTTTCCCACACATAACTGTATAGCTCATGAGAAGGGAAAAAAAGAAAGCTAGTCTAATTTT